TTAGAATCGTTTAATCTAAAATTGTGTAGGGTAGAAGTACCGAGTTTGGCCACTGCATCGGTACGACCACTACAAATACTTTCGAGGATTTTTCGTGTGAACACATTAATCAATGGCGATACAAAACAGTGATTTTCTGAGACTTCGCGTATTTCAGCAATATTTAAAGTTAAAATAAATTAACATGCATTTTTTAATTCAATTAATAAAATAGTACACGGTGTAAGAAAAAGCAATAGGTTATATCACTCCTAATTCTTACACCATGCACAATTTTATTAATTGAATTAAGAAATGCACGTTATTTTAACTTTAAATATTGTTGAAATACGCAAAGTCTCGGAAAATCACTGTTTTGTATTGCCATTGACTACATGTAGACACGAAAAATCCTCGAAAGTGGTTATAGTAGCCATGCCGGTGGAGTGACCAAATCGGTACTTCTATCCTACTATTACTATGGGAAATATATTGAGATATCTTAAATTTTCTGCCATTGCCTATGTCTATCATAATGTGTTTTGTACATTATTTTTCCCTTTTGAATTTATTATTATTTATATCATTAACAATATTGTAATAATAATGGTAATACCGCTAGTGGCCATTAGGTAGTAGTAAATGGGAAGCTATAGACTGTCACAAAAAACCTCCTCCACGCATCTCTGTGATGTCATCGACACCGGAAACGTGGTCCATTTGCAGGGGAGGTTAGGCCCGTCCAGAGCTGAGCAAAATACATCATTAAAATATTTAAAATACAAAATACTAGCAATCTTACAAGGAAAGGCTCAGAAGTGGTAATTTTAGAAAAATCTGAAACTTATGGTACGTGAAGTGTATCACTTACAATAAGTTAGATTATTCTAATATAAAGTGAACTGTATAATTCGGTCTTGAAGTCAATTCTGGTAACTTTGTCAATCAATAAAGCATATAAATTTCTTAATACATTTTTTTGTTTTTGCAAAATACTCTTATATATTTATAAAGTTATAGCAATTTTAAAACGCAGTTGGACGACTACTGCCCGTTTCTACCAATTTCGGTTTTAACTGAGGTTTAATAAAATTTTGGTTAAGATTAACTTTCGGTTTAATATTGATTGGTTTCTACGAACACTCTATTTAGAACGTTTAGCTAAACTTATAACTTGTGCGATATAACTGTAGGAAATTAGGAATATCGAATGTTGATTGGTTCAGCGTTTGCTCTACCGAATGGCGAATTGTGCAAACCAAACCTCAAAACTTATACAGGGTGTCCCAAAAAGGTCGGGACACCTAAATGTCTCGGGAAATATAAGTTTTACAGACAAGTGTTTCAGGCAAAAGTTATATGGTTTAAAAATATTTATTTACTGATCCTATCAGTTTGACCTTGAGTTGCGTAGCCAAGGTCAGGACAAGGTTACATTGATTTTCTTAAATGGAACACCCTATTTTTGATTCAAGAATCTAATAGCTGATGTCGAGAGCTTTCCAAAACGCTATGAAATATTTTTTCATGAAGTACTTTTCAAGTTATAATGCTTCAAAGTTACAGTATTGCCGGCACTAGCATTACCCAAAATATTTAATTTTGGAGACTGGCTAGTCAAGGCGAGATCGGTCGGTGGTTCGTGAATCTTGACCTTCAGTTAACGCACAAACAAAAACATAACGTAGCAAAATCGTGAGGGTCTCCACACAAAAACGTCCGTAACACGTTTAGTTCTCCAATGCATACTGCATTTTCTTTACTATCCGAATTTCAGACATGACGAATTGACAATTCATACCGATCACTGTTTAAGTTCAAATTGTTCGAACTCTCTGAACTATTCGAATCAAATGCTCATTTGTTGGAACTTCGAACTGTTCAAATAGATCGAATATTCAATGTGTTCGAATCTTTTATCTGAGCGATCTGTGTGTGATTCAGTCGGAAAAATTATTTCAAAATTAATTGATTTAAAAAATTTTTCATATTTGAAATATTTTCCCTCACAGATTCAGTATTGATTCACAGATTCGTTTTTATTATTTTTTACCTACGATGGCTTATCTTTCAGAACGAAAGAGAATATCTCTTCTCATGATGCGAGGATGGGGTGATCGTCAAAGATCGTACAATGAAGTTAGGCAGATTTTTAATGAAACTTTTCGCGATGAAAATACAGCCATTTTGAGATCCACCGTAGAGCGAACGGTCAGGTGTTTCAATGAAACTGGTAGTGTAAAGAATCGCCAAATTCCAGGACGACCAATATCGGCGATTGGTGAAGAAAAACAGCTGAATGTTGCATAGTCATTTGTCGAAAATGTTCACCTCAGTATTCGCAAAGCAAATCAGCAACATGATATTAGTCGCATGTCTGTGCAAAGAATTTTGAAGAAAATCAAGTTTCACCCGTATAAAATTCATCTGGTACAAGAGTTGAACGAAGATGATTTTGATTGTCATATGGAATTCTGCGACGTCATGATGAGAAAATCTGATGATGATCCCAATTTTGTTTTCAATGTAGTTTTCTCAGATGAAGCTACTTTTGAATTTAATGGTCTTGTCAATAGACATAACTGCATATTTTGGTCTGACAACAATCCTCACTGAATGCTGGAATCACACGCAATATCCTCAAAAGTTGAACGTCTGGGCAGGTATGTTGAATAATACATTAATCGGCCCATTTTTCATTGATGGAAATTTGTACTTTGCAAAGTATGAAGATATGCTGAGGAATGAAATAGTTTCAGCAATCAGACGAGTTGTGGGAGATAACTTTGCTCATACATGGTTTCAGCAAGACGGTGCTGGACCGCATTATGGTAGAGGTATACGAAACTTCTTACAAGGGGACAATACGAACTGTAGGACACCGATTTTGAAAAGGCTTATATATGTTAAAGTAGTAGATTATTTTAGCAAAGGGACACGATGCCATTCGCAGCCGTTTTCGAGAAAAACCGGGTTAAAGTTTATACCGTTCCGTATATACTGCTCGCGTTGAGCTCATTGTCGAGAAGGAGGCGCAGCTGAGGCGGTCAGCTGTAGACTACCAGTCTATCGACCCGGGTTTAATTTCCCTGATTCCTGAATTTTATTTTTTTTTTATTTTCAATGTTAAATATGTATTACATTATTATGTAAAATAAAAATAATCAAATTGACATTGTTTTGATTGAAAAATTTTACTTTCAATTTCATTTAAAATAATTCATTGAACATAATTGCTATTAAA